TGTAAAATCTTGTCGAGCCATGTTCTGTTACGAACAGTAACAAACTGATTCCGTTCTGTCAGATAGTGATCATCTGTTCTGTTTGCTGTTGATGTCGATGGGTTCGCTAATATTATGGGATTTGTATCTGTAACTTCGAGCGTTTCGATTCCGTAGCAACGCGCTATGGCCTTGTTTATTGAATCATCTGAACGAATGTCCTCTATTCGAAGATGTTCTCTTGTAATAGGACTAGTTCCTTTTTCAATAATCCAGCGCACTATAGCTGAACGTTCATAGACTTGTCCATCTCCAGCAATAACTGGATCTTGAAAATGTTCCAATGTTATTGGACAGATTAGATCATTGGTTGAGCTTCGTTCAATCGCAACAGCAATTTTTTCAGCTTTGTACACATTTTGTTTGAGCATCTGAAAGAAAAGAACTCTTGAAATGTTGGATGTTTTGTTGAAAAGAACTTGATTGAAAATGTGTGTGTGCAACATTTTGTTTTGCATCCTTTGAAGAGCATTATGATTTAAAACACAAACTCAACAAAAATCATGCTTCTGCATCATTTCACTGCACATTTTCTTTTCCTGCTCTGCTCGTATATCAGTAGTATATAATGACTCATCAAGAGAATGATGAATTTCTTTCGAGCTTGTAAGACGTGTGCTCGATTCTTCTCTAGAGAAAATTGCCACATCGAGATTCGGAGGTGTTTGTAGAGATGTGGGTGTGAGGGTGTAGATGTTGACGTTACTCTCATTTGTCGTCCAGAACCAATCACACACCGACTCACACCCATTCTCTCACCCTCAAAAATGAACTTATTTTGCTTGTACGTGAGACACCTAGGAATCCTTGTTCGTTCAAAATAAATAATCAAGAGAGAAAATAATGCTATTCTCAAAAAATGACTTTGCCCAAAAGACTGTCTACCGAAAAATCGGCAATAGAAAACATAGTATATAAGTACAATTACTAGAAGCTTTAAGGAATTGTTTAGCAGTGAGTTGTGTTTCAAAAACTGAAAATATATTCGCATGAGAAAAATAAACTCTTCAAAACAAGTTGTAGAACGTAGGTGTAGTTCATATAATCAAACTAAATGACTGACAAAGAAAGTTTTGTTCTATCTTTTTAAATTGAGGTGAATAGAAGTTTGTAGAATATTTAACGGCGTATCTTTTGAAAAAAATTCAGACTTTATGATTGATCTGTGCTGAAATATTTCCAAAATATCCAATGTTGCAATTATTATGACTCACTCAGTATTAAAAAAGATTTTCTTCAACATTCACTTATTGACAAACAATTCATATGTAGTATCAAGAACGAAAATAACGAAATCAATACCATGTTTCAGATTGATATTAAACAATGTTCTTTTCTGTTAGTGTTCATTAAACTTGTCCATTTCTTTTGGTGAATTCGTGAACGATTTTTTCGGAATTTATTTGTCGCGTAATGTGTAGAAGAGCAAGAGAACAAAGGCAATCATCAACCATAGTACTTTCGAGAAATATCTTCACTAATTCTCGAGTTGCAAAAGTAGTCGAATGAGACATCCTCGTTAGATGTTCCAAAAAAAACCAAGCTGGATTTTCAATCTTATGAGTACGAAGAGAGAATATTATACGGTCAAAGCTGTTTTCTGTTCACACATAGATTAACCCACTTTAGAAAAAGTGCAAAGAATTTTTTTCCTAAAAAGTGGTACAAGTCTCATGGATGTACTTTTAGTTGGCATCTTTCAATGCCATTTCAGCTTTTACGATGTAGAGACCATGATAAAATGTAGACGTAATTAA